TTTTTGAGATGGAGTCTTGCTCTGCCACCCAGACTGGAGTGCAGCAGTGGGGTGATTTTGGCTCACTGCAACCACCACCTCTCAGCTTCAAGCGATTCTCCTGCCTTAGCTTCCCAAGTAGCTGGGATTACAGGTGTGCACCACCATGCCCAGCTTATTTTTATATTTTTAGTAGAGTTGGTGTTTCGCCATGTTGGCTAGGCTGACCTCAGGTGATCTGCCTGCCTCAGCCTCCTAAAGTGCTGGGATTACAGGTGTGAGCCATGGTGCCCAGCCCTCTCTGGAACTTTCTAAACCAATTCACAGTGATAGAGCCCCACACTGTTTCTGTACTGGTGCTAGGTAAATAAGAGCTTATCATAAACATTTTTTGAGACCTTACTCTTTTCTAGGCACTTCAAATATGTTATTTCTTAGCCTGACACTGGTCCTTTGATAATTCCTCAAAGTTCATTTTACAGATGTGATAATGTCGGTGCCAGGCAGTGAAAGGACTTGCTCAAGGTGACATGGCCATGAAATGGCTGGGCTGGGATTCAAGTCCAAGTCTGGCCATCTCCAAAGTCTGCATCTGTGCCCCTCACTGCCACCTCCAGTGCCAGCCACCATTGTTATTTCCCCATTGTTCCAGCCCTCACATTCTGGGCACCTTAAAGTTCGGCAGGGTCACATGACTTGTTTTGGTTAAACAAATCCGAGTGGAAGTAAACCCACAGCTTCAGGTGGAGCATTCGGGTGTCAGCGGTGACTCTGCAGGACTCTTTTTCCCTTTGTCACAGTGACTATCAGTGTTCCAGGCAAGAAGCTGCCTTATCCATCTGGGTCCCTGAGTGAGTAGAACCCCCAGGAGCCATGGCACAGAAGGAAGAAATAAACCTTTGCTGCGTTAAGCCACTGAGCTGTTTGTTATAGCAGCGTAACTGAGTTTCTCCTGATTGTTACATTTTCCCAGAATGAATACATACAGGAGTAAAACACAAAGTCCATGTCCTCAGAGGGCTTAGAGTTTAGCAGGAGGAGGAAGAGAAGTTTGTAATTCAGCCCAACAAACACTTATTGAGTGTTAACTATGAGCACCAAGTTCAGGGTCTGGGAATGTAATGACGAATTTTTTTTTTTTTTGAAATGGAGTCTCACTCAGTCGCCTAGGCTGGAGTGCAATGGTGCAATCTCAGCTCACTGCAACCTCAGCCTCCTGGGTTCGAGCAATTCTCCTGCCTCAGCCTCCTGAGTAGCTGGGACTACAGGCATGTGCCACCATGCCCAGCTAATTCATTGTATTTTTAGTAGAGGCTGGGTTTCACTGTGTTAGCCAGGATGATCTCGATCTCCTGACCTCATGATCCACCCGCCTCAGCCTCCCAAAGTGCTGGGATTACAGGCACGGGCCAGCAGGCCCAGCTGATGAATTAAGGCTAGATGTCCTGCTCTCAGATACTAGCAAGGTAGGAGGCTTGGTGGATGCAGGGAGAAGCGTTCCTGATTTCGGAACTCAGGGATGGCTTCAGGGAGGACATGGAGCCAACACAGGGGGCCTCAGAGCCTGCTACCCTGCTGTCCCCATCTCCCTTGCCCCATGTTCCTTCTCTTTCCTTTTTCTCTCTTCTTCAATCTCTTTCTCCCTCTGCACCTTCTGCAGTCTGAATGTGTCCCCTCCAAAATTCATGTTGAAACTGAATCTCCATCATGATGGCCTTAAGAGGTGGGGCCTTTTGGAAAATGTGAAGTC